TTTTAATGGAGCAAACAGACCCTGGATGCCTCTCAGTGTGGAAAAATTCATTTTATCTTGGTTGAGCTGGAAATTTTTTCTTGATAATTCAAGAGGATGACTGGGCAAAAGTTCATTTTTCACACAAGGAAGACCTTTTCAAAGAAGATCATGACTTTCAAAAGGGTCCCCTTGCTGAAAGTTCAGTAACTAGAATACTGTCCTTTAGCTGAGATCCAAGTCCTCTGGCATTCATTTTCACTTGCTCTGTGGACAGCTTCTCAGCCCCGTTACTGTCAGCCTGCCTTACTGCTCACTTCCCCATATCTTTTTTTTTTTTTAAGATTTTATTTATTTATTAGAGAGCGTGCGTGTGCTCTCGCTTGCATCAGCAGGAGTGGGGGAGGGGTAGAGGGGGAGGGAGAGGAAGAGGAAAAAATCTCAAGCAGGGCTCCATCCGAGGACTCTGAGATCCTGACCTGAGCTGAAAGCAAGAGTCAGATGCTCAACGGAACTGAGGAACCCAGACGCCCCAGAAGTTCAGATCTTATACATTAACTTCACTGGTTGTTTCGTGACATAAGTTATCTCATGTAAAAATGAGTTATACCTCCCCCCCCAGCCCCCTTTCCTCTCCATCCGTCCCGCAAGACTCAAATTTTACTAAACAGATATGGTTGTATATATATTATATGTTTTTAAATATAATCTATAAAGTCTGCATGCTTTATGATCTAGCTTTTCAGGTCTTGAGTCTCATTTCTCACTACCCTTCCTTCTGTACCTTTTGCTCCCATGGACTGCCTTTAAGTCCTCCTGTCTTTTCTGACTTTATACATGCTGTTCTCTGTACCCTGAACACTTACTTTTCCCAGTTTACTTCCTACCTATATTTTAGGTCTTAACTTGAACGGTACTTGTTTTTTGTTTTTTTTTAAGGTTTTATTTACTTATTTGACAGAGACACAGCAAGAGAGGGAACACAAGCAGGGGGAGTGTGAGAGGGAGAAGCAGGCTTCCCACGGAGCAGGGAGCCCGATGCGGGGCTCGATCCCAGGACCCTGGGATCATGACCTGAGCCGAAGGCAGACGCTTAAGGACTGAGCCACCCGGGCGCCCCCGAACGGTAGTTGTTCAGGGAAGTCTTTGCTCATCTTCCTGGCTAGATCTGTCTTTCTGTCTCTCTTCTTCTCCCCACCTCTCTCTCCCTCTTACTCCCACATTCACTCACATGCTCGTGCACACAAAATTGTAAGCTCTTGCCTTTTGTTGTACTTGCCACAGTTACCATTTTACCTTTATATGCATGAATAGTTGCATAGATAGTCATTGACATTATACAGATGAGTGTTAAGCTCCATGATTATAAAGTCCTTGTTTTTGCTTATCATTCTGTTTTTCCAGTACTTAGATATATGAATGAATGGATATCATGTCAAAGAGTTTGGGTTTCATTCCTAGGAAAAACAAAGAGCCTTAATTGAAGGCTCTATAAAAAAGAGTAGTGATGACTCATACTAGGATTTGGGCTTGAGGAAGATTAACTAGAGACTACAGTTGAGTGAAGGAGAAAGATAGAGCCAGAAAGATCCATTAGATGGCCTTTGTAGATTAAAAAATGTGAGGAGTGCCTGGGTGGCTCAGTCTGTTAAGCGTCTGCCTTCGGCTTGGGTCGTGATCCCAGGGTGCTGGGATTGAGTCCCACATTGGGCTCCCTGCTCAGCGGGGAACCTGCTTCTCCCTCTCCCTCTGCTGCTCCCCTTTCTTGTGCCCTCTCTCTGGCTCTTTCTCTCAAAATAAAAAAAAAAAAGTGAGGACCTGAAGTCTTGCTGTGTAGATGGAGAGAAGAGGAGATTTTGTTGCATTCAGTATATGTTTTGGAATCCACTAGCATTTGGATACCAGCAGACTTACTATTGTCAGCGGTGTGAGGAAAAGGAGAGATGACTTGAAAGTTCAGGCTATTAACTTTTAGGCCATTTACCAGGTAAACGAGTATAACATAATTGGCAGTTCAAGGTGGTGGAGGATTTTTTGCATCTTTAACACAGTTCACAGACATGACCTTGGCCACTGCTCTATAGTTTTTTAAATAGCTTTATTGAAATACAATCCACATACCATGCCTTCCACCCATTTAAAGTGTACAATTGGGCGCCTGGGTGGCTCAGTTGGTTAAGCGACTGCCTTGGGCTCAGGTCATGATCCTGGAGTCCCGGGATCGAGTCCCACATCGGGCTCCCTGCTCCGCGGGGAGTCTGCTTCTCCCTCTGACCCTCACCCCTCTCATGCTCGCTCGCTCTCTCATTCTCTCTAAATAAATAAATAAAATCTTTAAAAAAATAAAGTGTACAATGATACGGTTTTGAGTAGATTTATAGACATGTGCAACCATCACAATAGTGAATTTTAGAGCATTTTCATCACCTCGAGGAGAAACTCCCTCTTCTTCATCTATTACCCACTTTCCCTTTGTCTCCCTCCCAGCTCTGTGGAACCACTCATCTTTTCTTCGTCCCTGTAGATTTCCTTTTCTGGACATCGTATGTAAATTGAATCTTACCATATGTGGTCTTTCGCAACTGGATTCTTTCACTTAGCATAATGTTTTCAAGGTTATTCCAAGTTGTAGCATGTTCATGAGCTGATGGTTGTTCAAGTTGTTTTGAGCTTTGGGCTATTGTGAAACAATGCTGCTATAAACATTTGCGTACAAGTTTTTGTGTGGACATAATGTTTTCATTTCACTTGGTTATATACCTAGGAGTAGAATTGCAAGGTTATATAGTAACTATATCATTAACCATTTGAGGAACTTCCAGAATGTTTATCAAAGCTAGTTGCACCACTTTACATCCCCACTCGGATTTCATTTTCTCTGCATCCTTGTCAACACTTGTCGTTATCTGTGTTTTTTATCCTAGTCATCCTAGTAGGTGTGAAGTGGGGTTTGATTTGCATTTTCCCCATGACAAATGGTGTCAGACAACATCATTATTGACCATTGTTTATCTTCCTTATAGAAATGTCTGTTCAGATCCTTTGCTCATTTTTTCATTGGGTTGTCTTTTTATCATTGAGTTGTAAGAGCTCTTTCTATATTGTAGATAGCAGTCTCTTAACAGATGTATGATTTGCAGATATTTTCTCCCATTCTTTGGGTCATCTTTTCAATTTCTTGATGGTATCCTTTGAAGCACAGTTCTTAATTTTGCTCAAGTCCCTTTTATCTATTTGTTTCTTTTGTGTCTTATGCTTTTTGGTGTCATATGTAAGAGTTCTTTGCCAAACCCAAGGTCATTAAGGTTTGACTCTAAGTTTTCTTCTAAGAGTTTTGTAGTTTTAGCTCTTATATTTAGGTCTTTGATCCATTTTGAGTTATTTTTTTAATATCATCTGAGGTAAGCATCCAACTTCATTCTTTTGCATATGGTTGTTCAGTTGTCCCAACACCATTTGTTAAGACTATTCTTTCCCTGTTGGATGCTCTTGGCACACTTGTTGACCACATATGTAGGTTTATAGTGTTGTTGTTGTTTACAGTGCAACTGTATTTTTAAAAATTCATATTTGGATTTCTTCTTCACAGATGGTTCTGTCATTAAAGTAAGATTGTGCTTATTTTTAAGAAGGCTTTTAGGGATGTTTGTATAATTTTAATACTACATTGTGTACCACAGGCTTAACCTAGAAAAATGCACAATTTGCACATGTGAAACAGGTGTTGTGATCATGAAAGTTGGGTTTGGAAAGCCATGTTTCTTTCACTGACAGTGACATTTGGGCTTCCTTTTTTACTGGTACTTCCTGAGTGCCACTGTACTAGTAGTACGCAGCTTACAAAGAATACATGACAGTCTTTTCCTCAAGTTGCTAATTGTTTGTAAGATATTGGGAGCGGGAAACGGAAGGTAGTAAAATGATGTGCAAATACTATGTGAGGTTTTTAGTTCATAAAGGTGGTATCTTTTGAGTCTATATAGGTTGTACAGCTGTTTTCACTCTAGTGTAGGTTTTTAGTTTATTTATTTTAGAGAGAGTGCACATGCCTGTGAGCCGGGGGCAGGGGCGGCTCCCAAGGAGAGGGAGAGAATCTTTTTTTTTTTTTTTTTAAGATTTTATTTACTTGACAGAGACATAGCGAGAGAGGGAACACAAGCAGGGGGAGCGGGAGCGGGAGAAGCAGGCTTCCCACGGAGCAGGGAGCCCGAAGTGGAGCTCGATCCCAGGACCTTGGGATCATGACCTGAGCCGAAGGCAGATGCTCAATGACTGAGCCACCCAGGCGCCCCAAGAGGGAGAGAATCTTAAACAGGCTCCACATCCAGTGCAGAGCGTGACACAGGGCTAGATCTCATGACCCTGAGATCATGACCTGAGCTGAAACCAAGAGTCAGACACTTAACAACTGAGCCACCAGGTGCCCCTAGTATTATTATTAATTTTTTTAAACATTTTTTTTTTTTTAAGATTTTATTTATTTTTTTGGCAGATAGAGACACAGAGAGAGAGGGAACACAAGCAGGGGCAGAGGGAGAGGGAGAAGCAGGCTTCCCACTGAGCAGGGAGCCCGATGCGGGACTTGATTCCAGGACCCCAGGATCATGACCTGAGCCGAAGGCAGAAGCCTAACGACTGAGTCACCCGGGCGCCCCTAGTTAAACATTTTCTTAAGACCAGGAATCTTAAATTGAAATCATTTGCTTTCCCAGGGCTCTAAATTAGGATATGAGTACCATGGATGCTGCTGAAAAGAAATGAATAATAAAGAGGAACTATTAGGTAGCTTGATGCTTTTTGTAGTGAGCTTTGGGAAAGTTCATTATTGTGACCACATGATTACTGAGGCCGATCATATGTGATTGCTAAATTCTTTCAGTGTGTTTTCTTTTATGGAGTCTTAGGAACTCAACAGGATCTTTCATTGAATTAGCTGGAATTGAATAGTTTAATCTGAAGCATTTGTCACTACCAACAGTTCTCTTAATGCCACTATATAATTTTATGTTCCTTTTTCGTAGGAATCTCAGCAGTCCAGTTTTGGCCCTGGAGAACAAAGTGAGTATTTCTTTTCCTCTTGGTTTTCAAGTTAAGCTTTTTATTGAGCATTCATTTCCCATGGTCACATCATATATTGCTTTTATAATTCCTTCACAAACATGCCTTATCCCAGTTTTTATTATCTGTCGATTAGTAATGAGTTAAACCAAGTCTTGGTTTAAATTAAATTAAATTAAAAAATGAAGAGTTATAGACTGATGGTGATTAAAATTAACTATTTTTATTAAATATTTTAAGTAGTAGTTCAGAGTTCATGAATTCAGTTTGATGGGCACCTGATAAACCCAAGAGCCATTCTTCTGTCTTCTTTTCTCCTTCGTGAAGATAATTGGTTCTGCGAGAGTTAAATTATAAGCAAGAAGGGGTTGTAGCTTACCATACAGCTCTTCTCTTCCTGTGTTTGTGTTTGTTTATTCTTGCCGGGTCTTTAGGTCTGGGAAGAAAGTTGGCTGTTGCAGAAACCGCTTTCACCTCCTGTCTTTTGGTTTCTGAGAAGAACTTGAAGGAACAATAGCCTTAGGGAATTTTTTTTTAAAAGATTTTATTTATTTGACAGAGAGAGAGCACAAGCAGGGGGAGGAGCTGACAAAGGCAGAGGGAGAAGCAGGCTCCCCACGGAGCAGGGAGCTGGAGGTGGGGCTGGATCCCAGTACCCTGGGGTCAGGACCTGAGCCGAAGGCAGATGCCTAACCCACTGAGCCACCCAGGCATCCCAGCCTTAGGGAATTTAAGTCTCGTCCCAAGAGATGATGGCTGTATGAATTGATAGTGGTAGGGTCAGGAACCTTGGAAATGTCTAGGCTTCCCCATATATATAGCTCTATAACAAAATAAATGGTCTTTTTGCCAAGAGCAGTAACTTCTTTAATAAGTAGATTTACACTGGTTCTGCCTGAAAGCTATAGTTGTAGGAAAAAGGGACCCGCCATTATTGATACGTAGAAAGCAGCTATAGGCCAGAAAGTTTACATTTTCTATCTTAAAATCTTTTAAGAATGTCGCATCTTTAGTTCTGTCCTCCTCCCGCTATAACTATTGGAAAATGGGATCATAAGCTGCTCCTACTCTTTTACCCGTGTTTTTCACTTAAGTTATTTTAGAGCTGTGTCTGTATCAGTATAAAAACTCTAGCTCATTCTTTTTAACATGAAAATTGTTTTACATTGTATGAACGTACCATAATTTATTTAACTAGGCCCCTCTTGATAGACATTTGTTTCTAGTTTTTGCTGTTACAAATCATACTACCATAAACATCTGGTGTGTGTGTGTTTATGTATTTTTCCAGATATACTTATAAGGTAAAGTTTTTTTCATCATAATTGCCACATCAGTGGATATGTGCATTTCTAGTATCAGTAAGATGATATTACCAGATTGCCTGCCAAAAAGATTGTATGAGTTAATAGTATTACAGACAGCTTCTGAGCATGCCTGTTTCCACCAGTATCTCGTATTTATTGGACTTTAAAATGTTGCCAGTTTGTTGGAGGGACGAATTCTATCTGGTGGTGTTGATTTACATTTCTTTTGAGGGTATACTGATACATATTTTACAATCTAAATAGCCATACTGTAGTTGTTAATTTCTGCATTCTTTTTGTTCTAGAAAGATACAATCCTTCTTCTAAAACTTCAAATGGACACCAATCTAAATCGTAAGTGTATTGCTTAATAAGTTTGTTTTGCTAAAAGTCTGTCTGTAGTGTGTACATATTAGCACAATGCTTAAATATGTGTACTTAATCTTTTAAGGAAGGGGTAGGCAAACTTAACGTAAAAGGCCAGATAGTGAAATAGTTTAGGCTTTAGCGGCTTTAGATCGTTTTTGTCCCAATTAGTCAGCTCTGCCATTGTAGTATGAAAGCAAATATAGACCATGGGTGTGGTTGTGTTCCAATAAAACTTTTTTACAAAACAGGTGTTAGTCTATATTTACCTGTGGGCCATGGTTTGCCTACACCTCCTCTGAGATTACAGTTTTTTCTCATCTCTTAAGAGATGTGTGTATTTGTGTTTGTGGGTAGGTTGATAGTTTGTTTTTAATAAAGAAGACTGAACAATACAGGATTCTTAGTAAGCCCTCCATTTAACTGCTTTGTGTAGAATACTAAGCATAGTTTGTACTGTCTTTAAGTTTTCCTCCTTCTATAGGTAGAACCAGGAATATATGTCAAAATGTAATTAGGCTAATATATTGGATGATAATAAGTTCCAGCTTAAGAAGTGAACTGAATTCCTGAGACCACAAGTTAACTCACTGATTAAAACAAAATTCTGAAGAAGCTGTGGCCACAATGCTGGCTTTCTAAGCTATAACCTGTAATCTGTATTGATAACCTCAGCCTCTTACGGTGAACAAAGGAAGAACTGAGAATGAACTTCTATGAATGCAAGAAATCCCCCTCACTGCTTAAAGAATTGAAATTATATTCATATTTATCATATTTATTCATATGCAAAGAACTGGTAAAAGCCTACCATTTATGTGCGAATCCATACGGTTGCTGAGGGAACAAAAGCATGCAGGACCTTGAGCAGTCTGGTAAAAGCTTTGACATATCCATGTGTGTGAACAGGTTCATTGAGCTGCCATTATTAAATCATAAGGGCTGAGAGAATTCAGAGTAAGTACATTTCCTTACAGGTATCAGTCATAGAGATGCACTAAGCCCTTGTCCAAAAGAAAGCTCTTTTTTTCTGTCCCGCTTAACTGGGCCAGCCTTAAAACACTTTTCATAATTCTGTAATCATCTGGTTACTTTGTTTCAGGGTGATCTTTTAGGGGATAATCTGAATTTCGGGTCAGATACAGAAACTCAGGTTAAGCTTTGAGGGGAAAGTATTAGTAGTTACTGGAGTGAAAGAAGATTTCCTTTCCACTGATTGGAGACTGTCATGAAATTTTAAGAAAGGTAATGGAACTATAGTAATGAGAAATTAAACATTATTCTAGTGGCTTTCCCTAAGTTTTGTATTAATTTTTGCTCCCCTGTAAAAAGGCAAGGAATATTTTATGGGTCATTGCTCGGATTCTTTATTTTAATGTTGATTTTATGGCCTTAAGGAAAATTTAAATCTGTAATCTTACTTTGAAAAATGAATTTTAGAAACTATAGTTTACGGAATTTGTGTGTTTTTTTAATTGATTTGAACTTTAATCAAGGAAGATTTAGAACCTGGAGTTTATTTTTAATTCATACACAGTCATTTCTGTTTTATAGCTAAGGTTCTTACCCCAAATTGTTACTCCTCCAGAGGGCAGTCATCTTTCATAGCAAGGCGTTTATGAACTAGCGCTTTGATTTTGTGTTCTGGTTTCCACAATTATGAAGTTGTATGCATCTCTTCGTGGAACATGAGGGACAATGAAAGAGAATTGCTGATACTTTCATTTTATCTTCCTTCTTTTTAGGAGTTTTCTCTCTCTAGTGGACTGTTGGGTATGAGTATGGTAATTTGTTTCAATATGAATGAGTGGGTGTGGATGCAGTTAGAGAAAAATAGAGATAACATCTGAGTATAAGAGTTTGTAGGAGGTGGCTTATTTAATTAGAAAAGAAGGTTACATGTTTTACTTACGGAAAAGTGAGAGCTTTTGAAATGTTCACTTCCTCCTTTCTCAGTTTTTCCTCTGGATGTGAAGCACACCAGAGTAAGACTTACTGGTTCTTTTCTTTGTTTTTTAATTAAATCTATGGCTACCACCATGATTATTTCTAGAATGATTCATAGATATTTAATACTCTGGTGTGCCATGATACACTGTTACAGAATTACTAATTCTTTCTGCCTTTTCCCTCTAGTATGTTAAAAGATGACTTAAAACTAAGCAGCAGTGAAGACAGCGATGGGGAGCAGGTGTGTCTACTGCTTTATGAATTTGCCAGTATCATACAGTGTTGGTTTGCATTGTATTTTATAAGAATTAGAATTGAATGATACATATATGATTCATTTATTTAAAATAAGTTCCTTACTGCTTTTTGACAGTGGAATGGTTGTCATGTTCTGCTCTGTGTTTAAAACTCCTTCTTTTTAAATTGGCTTTTCCTTACTACCTATCATGGATCAGAGTGTACTCATGAAACGTGAGATTGTTGACAAGAAAAACTTCTAACAAAGCTTTTCATCTTAGCCTGGCAGTTATTCTTTAGGTACAGTGTGTCCTAAGTGTTAGGTAAACATTGATGCATACATTAGAGCTGCTAGTGTTCTGTTAAGAATTCAGATATTGTTCACATTAAGCAGAAAGAGTGCTATTTATTCATTCACATTTCCTCTCATGTTTTACTTTTAGGATTGTGATAAGACAATGCCAAGGAGTACACCAGGAAGGTACGCATCCTTTTATTTTTTGTTTTATTTGGAGGGGTGGGGGTCACCTGATAGCATTGTAGTAATATAATAATCGACCTTATAAAGTAAATATTGTAATGGCGATTGTACAACCTTGTAAATTAACTAAAAATCATTGAATTGTACACTTAACATCGGTGAATTCTGTGGTATGTGAATTATACCTCAGTAGAACTGTTTTTAAAAGGTAAGTGCTAGTGGCTGAGGAGCATATTAGAAACTTTTTTTTTTTAAGGAAGTGTTTCATTTATAAATGATGTTCTGGATTCATAGATCTGTAACAGCATAACAAACAGTAAACATTTTAAATAAAGTTAGTTGTCAGATTTGGGTGTTTTCCTGCTGTCAGTGTAAAAAACAAAAAAACACTTTCAGTCATTTATATGTTTTATCTCTTTTTAGTAACTCTGAACCTTCACATCATAATAGTGAAGGAGCTGATAACTCCAGGGATGATTCTAGCAGCCACAGTGGATCTGAAAGCAGCTCTGGATCTGACTCAGAGAGTGAAAGTAGCTCCAGTGACAGCGAGGCAAATGAGCCGTCGCAGAGTGCATCTCCTGAGGTGAGAGGGAGGCAGGGGTATCTTCCGCAGGCCTTGCATGGCCCCTGGTGATGGCCAGTTAAGACCTGTTTCAAATATAAAAGGTGAAGGGAAAGAAGGTTAAGAAATTAAACTGTGTATCTTGGAGGAAACTTAGATACTTGAGTTTCCTTGTTATTTGAACAAACAGTCTAGATTAGGAATTACTTGAGGTCATATTTCAGGTCCCTAAAATACCTGATTGGTTCAGTTTGGGCTTTCTTTTTATATCTCAGCATGGTAATTCATGTTATGTAGTTACTGTGACTAAAAGGAGTCATATGTTGTATAATTTTACTGTAGGTTGATAAAATATGGTTAAAAATCTCTATCAGTACCTACATCACTTGTTTACTTTTTGGAATTAAGCATAGCCATGGTCATTTGTAATTTTACCTTTGAAGTTGGGTTCCTGCCAGGAATCTTTAATGTTTAAAGGCCACTGTAACATCAGGCTTATCTTCTCATTCAAGAGATGAGAGCTCTGAGAGCCAATAGTCAGCCCTTTGCTTAGTTCAGTCAGAACTCTGAACAACAAATGCCTTTGTGGTCTTAGACGTGCTTTTTCCTCTTCCTTGAGATTGTTAAGGAGGGAGAAGGCTTCAGGATTGACAAAAGCATATTTATTTCTCTGGTTTTCAGCCTGAACCACCACCAACAAACAAATGGCAACTTGATAATTGGTTGAATAAAGTGAACCCACATAAAGTGTCACCAGCTTCTTCTGTGGACAGTAACATACCATCATCTCAAGGCTATAAAAAGGAAGGCCGAGAACAGGGCACCGGGAATAGCTACCCTGATCCAGGCGGACCTAAAGAAACGAGTTCTGCTACTCCTGGACGAGACTCTAAAACTGTCCAAAAGGGATCAGAAAGTGGGCGAGGGAGGCAGAAGTCCCCTGCACAGAGTGACAGCACAACACAGAGGAGAACTGTAGGCAAAAAACAACCCAAAAAGGCTGAGAAGGCAGCCGCTGAAGAGCCCCGGGGAGGCCTGAAGATAGAAAGCGAAACCCCGGTAGACATGGCTACCAGCATGCCCTCCAGCAGACATAAAGCAGCCACCAAAGGCTCAAGGAAACCCAATATTAAAAAGGAGTCCAAATCTTCCCCTCGACCTTCTGCAGAGAAAAAGAAATACAAGTCAACGAGTAAATCTTCCCAGAAATCAAGGGAAATCATAGAAACAGATACCTCATCCTCAGATTCGGATGAAAGCGAGAGCCTTCCTCCTTCCTCACAAACTCCTAAGTACCCTGAGAGTAACAGGACTCCCGTGAAGCCCTCCTCAGTGGAGGAAGAAGATAGCTTTTTTCGGCAACGAATGTTCTCTCCTATGGAAGAGAAGGAACTTCTTTCACCCCTCAGTGAGCCTGATGACAGGTATCCACTTATTGTGAAGATTGACCTGAATCTCTTGACCAGAATACCAGGAAAGCCTTACAAAGAAACAGAGCCGCCCAAGGGGGAAAAGAAAAATGTGCCAGAAAAGCACACAAGAGAGGCTCAGAAACAAGCCTCAGAAAAAGTTTCCAACAAAGGCAAAAGGAAACATAAGGTTTGTGAAGAGTTTTTGTTGTTTTGTTTTTAAACATCAGAACCTGAAATGCAGTGGATATCTCAGTAAGCCAGAAAATACCTGGTTGAGTCATAGCTATGAGAGAACATAGAGGTTGAGCCCAAGACCCAGGGGAGGCTACAGACCAAACAATCTCTTGAGGACCACTGAGCCTCTTCCTGTCTCCTTTAGTTTCTAATCCGGTAAGAAATGAGCCAGTGCTTCTGCTCATCCCAGGATCCTGGGATCATGACCTGAGCCGAAGGCAGATGCTTAACCATCTGAGCCACCCAGGCGCCCCTGACTCACCAGTTTTGACACATCCTTAGGAACTTCATCAGTCTTCTGTACATATCTGTGCCTTAGCTTTTTTCCCTTTTGAAACACCCATGTCTGCAAGTTCAGGACTAAACACATCTGCTCACACATGGCCAGCTCTTATCTTTAAATTCATCTGGGATAATTTTTTTTTTTTTTTTAAAGATTTTATTTATTTATTTGACAGCGAGAGAGGGAACACAAGCAGGGGGAGTGGGAGAGGGAGAAGCAGGCTTCCCGCCGAGCAGGGAGCCTTATGCGGGGCTTGATCCCAGGACCCTGGGACTATGACCTGAGCTGAAGGCAGATGCTTAACGACTGAGCCACCCAGGCGCCCCTCATCTGGGATAATTTGAATTTAGAGGTGAAGCTTGGTATATATTCAAGGTCAGCCTTTTTATTTTTTTTTAAATGTTTTATTTATTTATTCATGAGAGAGAGAGAGAGAGGCAGAGGCAGAGGGAGAAGCAGGCTCCCCGCAGAGCAGGGAGCCTGATGCGGGACTCGATCCCAGGAGTCTGGGATCATGATCTGAGCCGAAGGCAGACGCTTAACCATCTGAGCCACCCAGGCGCCCAAGGTAAGGTCAGCCTTTTTAGACCCAGGAGATGTGAAGACCCACAGATGTCTATGATTGGAGGATAATGGACATATTGAATGAAAAGAGCTGAACAACTGACATGTATAGACAGAGATTCTTTGGGAAAAAGAGCTTGATCTTTCAGCTCTAGTGAAAAATTTGTAGAGGAAAGTAAATTTTAATTATTTGTATTGAAGAATAAAATGCTTTCCTCTGATACGTATGTGTGAATATGATTGTATAACACCAAAGAGGTGAGCAGGTGGACAGATAGGTACCAGAGTAGTTGTACCAGGTAGAGTCAGAGCAAAACCCCAATCCCAGCTGTCCTTGAGAATCTCACATCAGAGGATAGGAAGAATAAAACATTTTCTTAAAATGAAGTGAGCTGGAGGTCTTTCCTCTTTTTCTCAAGGCCACAGTACAATGTGCAGACGATGTGTATTTGAACAAACTAGAATAATTACCCCCCCCTTTTTTTTTGACTCTTCAGAAATTGAAGATATTTAGAAATTTGAATTTATAGAAAACTGAAGCTTACTACTTTCAGTGCTATAGCTAGTGAGTTTCCATTATTGTAGCATAGGGAAGCTTTTTTGACTGCTAGGTTTAGGGCTAACTGGCCCCTATAGAGCTACCACCTCAGATTGCTGGACTTTGTTATGGGATTTAATTCATAGAATTACATGAAGTAAGAGCTTATGTATGATGGACCCTGCTCTTCAGAAAACTAAGGTGCTTATGGAATTAAGAATTGGTCCTTTTGTGCTTGAAAAGTATTACATATTCTTTATAAGATTTCATATAATATAGAAATACAATATAGAATGCCCTTTTTACTCTTGTTTAAAATTGTACAATATATATAACTTAAAATAGAAAATCCCCTTCTTCTAAAAGAATTGCACCTTATTTGTCCCCTTCTCCACATTTCACTGGCATGTTTTATTCCTCCTGAGTTTTTTTATGTCAACACATGAAAGTCAGATTTTGATTTTATAAAATCAGAATCAAGTCTGGAAACTTGGAGTGATTTTTGAGATTCATGGCTTCAGTAAAAATAAGTGTCAGGGACAGTTCTTGAAGATGAAGCAGATGGTACTGAGAGGAGTCTCAACCAAGGGTAATGAAGGATGTAGATTCTTTTGTCTCATGTTTTTGTTTTTTTTTTTTTTAAAGATTTATTTATTTATTTATTTGAGAGAGAGAGAATGAGAGATAGAGAGCATGAAAGGGAAGAGGGTCAGAGGGAGAAGCAGACTCCCTGCTGAGCAGGGAGCCCGACGCGGGACTCGATCCCGGGACTCCAGGATCATGACCTGAGCCGAAGACAGTCGCTTAACCAACTGAGCCACCCAGGCGCCCCTGTCTCATGTTTTTATGTGTCCACTTTCAATTGTTTGTGTAGGGAACAGATTCTTTTGTTATGGCAGAATGTTTTGGATTCTTGGGCCCCAATATTTAAAGCAATAGGAAAACTTAGGAAGGTAGCTTTGGCAATTACAGATGGGCTCATAGCTTTTGTTTCAGCAAAACATTTTCCACAGTCATTAGGCTTGGCTATAATAAAAAATATGGACAGTAACAAGCGAAGATATGGAGGAGTTAGAATTTTCATACAGTACTGGTGGGAATATAAAATGATAGGTAGCTGCTTTGGAACGCAGTTTTGGCAGTTCTTCAAAAAGTTAAACACAGTGTTACTGTGTGACCCAGCAATTCCACTCCATTCTACTTAGGATATATACCCTAGAGAAATGAAAATATGTTTACACAAAGACTTAGACTTGAATGTCTGCAGCAGTATTATTTATATTAGCCAAAAGGTGGAGACAACCCATATGGTCATTAACTGATGAATGGATAACTAAAATGTGGTATATGCATACAATGGAATACATTCAGCTATAACCACGAATGAAATCCTGATACATGCTACAGCATCAGTGAACATGAAAAATATTATACTAAGTGAAGGGAACCAGACACAAAAGGCCACAAATGTGATTCCATTTATATGAACTGTCTAGAATAGGCAGATCCATAAAGACAAAATATATAGATTAGTGATTACTAGAGTCTGGGGTGGAGGGAATGGGGGGAATGCCTGCTGAAGGGTCCAGGGTATCTTTGAGATGATGAGAATGTTCTAGAATTGTTTGTGGTAATGGTTGTACACCTCTGTGAATATACTAAAAGTCTTTGAATTGTGAACTTTTAGAGTGGATTTTATCGTATATGAATTATATCTTTTTTTTTAAGACTTTATGTATTTATTTGACAGAGACACAGCGAGAGAGGGAACGCAAGCAGGGGGAGTGGGAGAGGGAGAAGCAGGCTCTCCGCAGAGCAGGGAGCCCGATGTGGGGCTCAGTCCCAGGACCCCGGGATCATGACCTGAGCCGACGGCAGACTCTTAATGACTGAGCCACCCAGGCGCCCCTATATGAATTATATCTTAATTATAATTTCACAGCCCCCCCCCAAAGTCATTAGGATGAAAAGATGTCACCTAAAAGACTGTAGGAAATGTGTGTCCGTGTTTGGGCTCTGTTTATCTAAAATAGGAGACTTCTCGGGCGCCGGGGGGGCTCAGTCGTTAAGCGTCTGCCTTCGGCTCAGGTCATGATCCCGGGGTCCTGGGATCGAGCCCTGCATCGGGGTCCCTGCTCAGCGGGAAGCCTGCTTCTCCCTCTCCCACTCCCCCTGCTTGTGTTCCCTCTCTCGCTGTGTCTCTGTCAAATAAATAAATAAAATCTTTAAAATAAAATAGGAGACTTCTTCTCAGCCTTGAAACTCAGTTCACTGAACATTGTTTAAATGAGTTATTTCACTTCACATTTATCTTCTTTCTGAAACTTATCAGGGATAAATTATTGAGGGTGACTCCTGCTGGAAACTGAAATTAGATGAATAAAAATCAAACGTAGTAGTTGCTTTTTTCTATTTTTCATCCAGAACGAAGATGATACCCGAGCCAATGACAGCAAGAAACCCAAAACAGAGGACAAGAATTCAGCAGGTCACAAGCCATCCAGCAACAGAGAGTACGTCCCCAAAACATGTTACATGTGTGTTAATATGTGTATGTCATTTGCCATTGGGTACTTTCTAATGTGCTCTTAGATTGTTGCTTTCAGTGACTATATGTCATATCCATGTATATGTGTACACATACCAACTAGTAGAGGAGGGAGCTTTTGCTGTTAGCTAATTACAGTGGAAAGTTTTTAAGATTCAGTCTCTTCCTTCTTTCTGTAGTGGAGTAGGGTTGAGTACAGGATAAGAATTAAAGTTTTAGCACTTTCTGGCTAGATGACAAGCTTATCTGTATCTGGCAAGAGACCGGTTTCTAACTTAGGAACTTCATATCTTCATCATTCATCTTCTCATTTATGTAACCAGTATTTATTGAATACTTGTGTGGCAGGCCAGCATTTAGGCACTGGGTATACGTACAGCCAGGGGGTGGAAGACAGCTAAGAGGCCTGTCCTTATGAAATGTACACTCTTGTTTTGTAGAAGTCATGTGTCCTCATACTTAAATAGGGAGAAACAAATTTGTCTTGAAAGCAGGCAGAAAGAAATAGGAAAAAATCCATCACCACCATATGACTGTGTTGGAGAAATGAAGGCATTTGTTTGATTTGGCAGGTCATCTAAGCAAAGTGCTGCAAAAGAAAAGGATTTGTTGCCTTCTCCCGCGGGGCCCGTTCCTTCAAAAGATCCAAAAACAGAGCATGGCTCTCGGAAGAGGACTATTAGTCAGTCGTCTTCTTTAAAGTCAAGTAATAATAGCAACAAGGAGAATGGTGGCAGCAGCAAAAACAGTTCCTCCACATCAAAGCAGAAGAAGACTGAAGGGAAGACTTCCAGTAGCTCTAAGGAGGTCAAGGTAAGGCGTTGGGGTCTGAGCCTCTTGAAAAGCAATCTCATTGCCATAGGAATTCTTTAAGGTGACATTGTCATTGTGCTTTGACGATCATGTACAACTCATTAAATTTATAGGCCTGTGCATTTTTACTCTCAGAATGTCATAATCTTGATAATAAACATATGCAGTTGATCTGAGACCTTGAAAGCAGTACTTCACCTGGCCACGTGCATGTTAATTAAGACAGAAACCCATAATTGGGAAAGTTGGTTTTGGAAGAAAGTAGTCGATTATGATCTAATTATAAATCACTCCAGTTCTTATGATTGAGTTGTCTGTGGTTTGAAATTGGCTTTGGAATTTTTAGAATTAGATTTTACAAGCAAGTATATTACATAAAGTGATAAAGCAGCCAATCTGGCTTTGATTCATGAAGAAGGGAAAATTCTTTAGCTGAGCTAGTACTGGAGCTATTCCTGGAGCATGATCATAACGTAGGGGACTATTCTTTATGTTCCTGGGTGGAGAAATGGATCATAGAAGCTTTTTCAAGGCTGTACTGTATTAGACTTTCACCCTCACTTTATTTACCAGGTTATTTGCATTACTTTCTAAACTGTTTTGATCACGAGCAAACTCTGACAAAATTAAGAAAACACCTAGATTTTTAAGAATATAATTCACTGGGTTGTTATTTGTGACTTGAGTAAGCGAAGGTTTGAGAGTTGAAAAAATTGACCATTAAAGGTAGTTATTCATGCTTATTAAATGTGGCGATTTAATTAAGTCTTTAAAATTGAGGTAATTTTAGTTGTGAACAGCGGCTCAAATTGAGATATACAGATGGCTTTTTCTCCAGGTGGACACCCTTCTGTAGTTTAGAGAGTTCGTTCTAGTGTTCTTAAGGAACCTGACTGGCCTCTTGGCCTCCTTCACCGTCCAGTTTTGTGTCTACCTGCTAACTGGCTCTTTCTCCATTTTCCATACTTCACCTGTAGGATTTGAGGCCTGAATGCTTATTTCTTGAAACCTCATACCATTCTCTCTCTCTCTTAAGATTGATTTATTTGTGGGCACCTGGGTGACTTGGTTAAGCGTCTGCCTTCAGCTCAGGTCATGGTCCCAGGGTCCTGGGATCGAGCCCCGCATCGGGCTCCCTGCTCAGCTGGGAGCCTGCTTCTCCTTCTCCCTCTCCCTGCCATTCCCCATGCTTGCGCGCCCGCTCTCTCTATTTCTCCGTCAAATAAATAAATAAAATCTTTTTAAAAATGTATTTGAGAGAGAGAGTGTGCCTGAGTTGGGGCAGGAGGAGAATTTCAAGCAAACTCCCCGCTGAGCACAGAGTACAATTTGGGACTTGATCCCACGACCCCAAGATCATGACCCGAGCCGAAATCAGGAGTCAGAGGCCTAACTGAGCCACCCAGGAGCCCCCCTCCTACTGCCTTTTTAAATGTATTCTTTAAGTGAGGTCACCTGTTCATTTAGTTGTGCGATCTCATAGGTAAAACTATGTGGCTCTTTATTGGTTTGTCAGATCCTTGAAAGCAGGGATTTTTATCTTGTTTTGTTTTTTCTCCATTGTTTAGCTTACTGGGTAATCAGGAAATATTTGTTGGATCAAATGTAATTATTTGGTACTCTGTTGTTATTGACAGAATATAAAATATAGGCCCTGACCACTTTGATTTCAAGATCATAGGGCTTTTAACAGTTGTTAAAATAACAGTTGTTAAAATCATTAATGTTAGTCTTGGCAATTTCCGGTTTGGGCAATTACATATGGGTTTATTAAAGAAGAATCTAATTTAGTTGGAAAATATGCTTTTTCTTATTTTAGCTAAAGGAAAATTAGATAATATGGAAAACCAAAATTACATATCATTTTTATTTTTTCTACATATTTGCTTATATTATCAAATATTTGAAATATGTTGGCATAAAGTTCAGTCTCTTAATATGCTTTTGATATCTGTGACATCTCTACTTATGTTTCCCTTTTGTTCTTTTTTATTTTTTTAAAGATTTTATTTATTTATATGAGAGAGGGCACATGAGCGGGGGGAGGGTCAGAGGGAGAAGCAGACTCCCCACTGAGCAGGGAGCCGGATGCGGGACTTGATCCTGGGACTCTAGGATCGTGACCTGAGCCGAAGGCAGTTGCTTAACCAACTGAGCCACCCAGGCGCCCTCCCTTTTGTTCTTCATATTAGTTCTCTGTGCCATTTCTCTTTTTCCTTGATCAGTCTCATCAGAGGCTTATTAGTAAAATTACTTGTCTTTTCAGAAACTAGCCTTTGTTTTTGTTGATTCTTTGTGGTTTATTTTTGTTTTCTATTTCATTAACTTATAGTCTTTATGATTTCCTTTCTTATTTATTTTTGCTTTGTTCTGTTTACTGACTTAAAAATGGATACTTAGCTCATTAATTTTTAAATTAGTTTTAAGCCTTTTTTTCTTTCTTTTTTTTTTTTTAAGATTTTATTTATTTATTTGACAGAGAGGGAGGGAACACAAGCAGGGGGAGTGGGAGAGGGAGAAGCAGGTTTCCCGCGGAGCAGGGAGCCCAATGCGGGGCTCGATCCCAGGACCCTGAGATCATGACCTGAGCCGAAGGCAGACGCTTAACGACTAAGCCATGCAGGTGCCCCTTTTTTCTCTAATATAAGCAGATAAGCTGTATAATTTCCTCTAAATAACTGCTTACATGCATCCTAGAAGATTTGGTTTGTTTTTATAACTCCGTTTAAAATATTTTCTAATTTCCAGGATGATTTTATCTTTGACCCAAGAGTTAACTTAAAAGCATGTTAGTCAATTTCCAAACATACTGAGATTTGCTAGTTGTCTTCTGATTAGTGTTTCTACGTTAATTGCATTGGGGCTGGAAAGTAATCTGCATGGTAGCAGTCTTTTGAAATTTGTTAAGATTTACTTTATGAGAGTATAGTATGTGGTAGATTTTGTAATGTTCTATATTTGCTGGGAAAGAATGTGTATTCTGCATATATTTAGACAGGGAATCCATGTAATTCAATTATATTAATCATGTTTTCAAACCTTCTTTATGCTGATATTTTTGGTTATTTTGTCCTCTTGTTCATTTTTCCACAAACAAAAGATTTGTCTATTTTTTTAGTTCTGCCAGTTCCTTTTTAATGAGATATACTTGATATATAACATATTAGTTTCAGGTGCACACCATGATTAACTATATGTATATATTGTGAAATGACCACTACAGTATTTTTAGTTAACCTCCTTCACCACGCAGTGATTTTACATATCCCATGCATATAATTTTTATGTAAGAAAATACGTTAAAATACATAGAAAGTTTTTGAATGTATTTTTAGTAACTTCAATTTTCCTTCAGTAAATCTAAACTTAGGCAGTTGTGGAATTACTTATAAAACATAGAGGGAAAGCTGGCCTAGTAATGTTACATTCCATCATAGTAGGCAGGAAGCCATTTCAGAAACATGTGAACTTTACCATGAAGAGTGTAGTATTTTCTCAAATCCCAGGGCCTTTATTTTTATTCCTTGAGATAAGCTGTATTGGGTAGAACTGAAAAGCTGTTATCATTTGAGAAAAATGGTTTATGATTCCTTTTCAGTAGATTTTTAAACACAGGCAGTAAAATTATATATTAATTGGGTTTTTTAATGTTGAAACATCATTTCATAGGATAAATTCTGCTACTTGTGTTTTATTGTTGGAAAATGTGTATAGGGAAGCAGTTGGGAAGACAGGCTCACAGTCCCCGCATAAAGGGCTATGTTGAGAGGAGGTAGAATCAAGTTTAAGAAGGTGGCTAGGCTTTTAAAATATGGCAGATCTGGATTTAAAATCCAAACTCCAGGAATGCCACTTAAAAGTTGTTTGAACTTGGGTGAGTTACCCTCCTTGCCGTTGCTTTTTATTATGTCCCAAAAGCGGTATACATTCCATAAAGTTGTGGAAGGATTAATGACACTGCTAAGTAGTACCTAGTTAACTTAGTGCCTGGTAAGTAGTAAGCGTGTAGTAAGTGTTAGATCTTATTATTGCTGTTTTTATTGACCAGTAATTATCAGTAAATTTTGTCTTAAGCAGTATTCCTATTCTCAGAGTAGGTTGTATCTTCCTTATGTTTTAACTAGTGTGTAGTTCAGTGCCTGGTACATAGTAGACCTCTGCTATTAGAATGAATATTTTTGGTTATATAAAATGGACCTGTTCTGCAAAAAGGGCTTTTACATTTTGAAATTTAAAAATTTTGTAACAAGGAAATTAATTATTGAAGGCAGTGGAATTTTGTGTCCTTTCTCCTAGTGGCTCAAAAGATACTTTCAGTTTAATTTTAATCACCTCAGAATTTTCAACATATATTTTCAACATTATATGTTTTTCTGGTCAGGAAAAGGCTCCAAATAGCTCCTCTAGCTGTCCTCCATCTATACCAACTCCTGATGCTTCTAAGCCTCGGAGAACAAAGCTTGCCTTTGACGACAGGTGAGAGAAATGTTTTTTTATGCATTGGAGAAAATCATTCCAGTCAGCATATGAGAAACTCATTTAAATTCCCATCAGTGATCAGAAGAATTCATACTTGTGTTGTGCTCCATAGAACATTCAGATTTTAATTTGAAAGGCACCCTACTAGTCCAGGTATTGTTCCTTTTAACTGAACTCCGTGACTCCTAGGGCATGTGAATAATGTACCTTCAAGTAGAACCTGACTGCTGCTGGTACCACTGTTTAACATGGGGGCTTTCTTAAATAAGTGAGAGCAGTGTTGGGGTTTTTCCTCCATTTTATTAAAAGGATATTTCTCTTATCCACATTCCATTTGTTCCGAATCTTTCAAACAACTTGGGAAAATAAGCATTTAATACTAGGGAGCTTGATTTCTGTATTCCTAAGTAGAAAATTTGCCATGAGTTGGCCAACACAATTTATGCTCTTAACCCAATAAAAACATTTGTCAGAAAAACTGGAACTGAATGTTTAGTAATGGGTCATTTTCCGAGGGATGCTAGAGACTAAAATGAACAAGTAATATCTTATGAAAATATTCACTATTTTATTTACTATAAAAATTTACATTGCAGAAATTATTCAGCAGACCATTATTTACAAGAAGCAAAAAAGCTAAAGCACAATGCCGATGCATTGGTATGTAAACATTCTCACATTTATTTATTTAATCAAATTAACTTAAATTTTCATATATTGTTTGTTCCCATAGTACCTCAGTGTATCTCTCATTACCTTTATTCTCCTTTCTTCAGTCTGATAGGTTTGAGAAAGCTGTATACTATCTTGATGCTGTGGTATCTTTCATTGAATGTGGGAATGCATTAGAGAAGAATGCTCAGGAATCCAAATCCCCATTCCCTATGTATTCAGAGACAGTGGAGCTCATCAAGTAAGTGGGAAAACTTCGCTGCCATGTCATTGGCACTATTACTTCCTTGGTTCATCTAGGAAGGGGCTGATACAGCTGTGTACAGTAAAACTGTGAAGGATCCTGATCCTTTATTGTCCTGGGATAAGGAGAACTAGATACTTCCGTGGGTATTTTTGCCTTTGTTTAGGTTGGGTTCTAATGTTCTGAGGACTAAGGAAGTCCTAAGATCAAGATGAAGTACTGTGTTTTGTGTCATTTGTTGCTTTAACTCACAGATACACTATGAAGCTAAAGAATTACTTGGCCCCTGATGCTACAGCTGCAGATAAAAGGCTCACGGTACTTTGGTAAGTGTTGTGTTCCAGCCTCTGCTAGATGACAGGCTGTTCCCTAAGAAATTACGCTGTTTATGCCCTTCTGAAAGCTGTCCTTGAATCGACTTTTCATAACCCAGGCATAAATCTATTTTTGATGGGTAAAGTAGAAAATAAGTCAAAATTCCTACTGAAAGATTTTTAGTTGTTGTCAGTCTCTGATCCATTGTGCTCATGGCAAAAGCCTTGGTAGAGTAGGGCTGACCGTAGAACTCCCCATGTCTCACATGGTGCCTTTACCAGGCTCTTCTTTCGGTATCCTCTCTCCTTATTCACATATCCTGTACCTTCTCTTAGGGAGCAAATGTTTAGCTTATTCGGAGTAAAGAATGTGGCTTGTTGGCTTGGTCCCAGGGAGATGTTATCAGATTGTTAAAAGTAGTTACTTTACCTGGCACTGGCTTTAACAACTAGGAATGTAGCTGTGGATAAACTGACACGGTCTTTTTTGTCATGGAGTCTAGTATCTAGTGTGAGGAGACAGATTAATCAAATCGCCACACAAGTGTATGAATTCGGTACTTTGTGGGTTTTTTTGTTTTTTTAAAGATTTTTTAATTTATTCATTCGAGACACAGAGATACAGAGAGAGAGAGAACATAAGCAGGGGGAGAAGCAGAGGGAGGAGGAGAAGCAGGCCCCCCCGCCGAGCAGGGAGCCCGATGTAGGGCTCGATCCCAGGACCCTGGGATCATGACCTGAGCCGAAGGCAGACGCTTAACAACTGAGGCACCCAGGCGCCCTGAATTCAGTACTTTGAAAGGAAAGTATAATAACTCTAAGAGAGTAGAGTGTAGAGACACCCAGTCTTCAGGTAGAGGGAATATGTGCAAGGGCTAGATGGTGGCAAGAAACTGGGAGCTATCAAGGAACTAAAGCAACTCCTCCAGAGACCGGGGAGAAGTGAAAGTGACTGGGGAGGTAAGCAGTGGCAGGGCTTTTGTAAGCCATAGTAAGGCTCCCATGTGTTGCCTCAGAGTTGTCCTGTGCATAGTTGAGTTTTCTAGTTTTTGTTGCTGAATTTTAGATAGTTACAATTTGATCTAGAGATTCTGCTCCTTAGTAATTTCTTTGAATGCATATGTTATAATGACATGTTGGTGTCTTGTGGGTGAGGTTTTGATTCTTGATGGTCAACAAATAGGAGACCATTCCTAAGTGTCTTCCCCTCCTTTGGGTGTGTACCATAATCAGGACACATCTTCCAGTTTTGCCTGAGGGTTAGCGTCATTGACCTTATGCCATGGTCTGTTCACACGAGCCGGTTCTGTACTCTTGCGCAATACAAAAGTTGTCTGCGCATGTGGCCAGTCTGCTGTGCTGTTAAATAAGCTGCCCTTTTCCGTTGGCTAGCCTGCGATGCCAGTCTTTGCTGTACCTGAGGCTGTTCAAACTGAAGAAAGAAAATGCTCTCAAGTATTCAAAGACACTGACGGAGCACCTGAAGGTAAGTGTGGCAGTGGGGGAAGGTCCCCGTCCTAGGAGACAAGATTTGTCTTCTCCTATTGCAGCCCCACAAGGGCCTCTTCCTGTTTGGCCTGCCACAGCAAACGAGGAGCTACTGTTGGTAGCTTTCAAACAGAAAGTTTGAAATTTCTTGGAAAGTTTTTAAATGTACATATATCTGATTATAGAATCTATGTAGTCATATGCAGTAGCTCTTACTAATATTTCAGTTGATGTAGCATCTTTCTATCATGAGACCTAGGTTCTACTTTGCAAATGGCCTTCTCTTTTCACTACCACCCTTCCTTAGACTGTTAAATTGTTTCCTAAAATGTCTGTGTTTTTTCACCACACCACCACATAAATCTTAAAATCCTGCCCTGGTTCTGAGTTCGAACCCTTCAGTAGCTTACTGTTGCTTGCCAGGTCAGGTCCGAGCTTCTTACCCTGACCTCAAGTCATCGAGGTCTCTTTCCCTTGTTCCTTACCTAGACCTCTGCTCCAGGGGGACTGCGTGGGTCACATCTCTCCGCAGCCTGTGCACACAGTATGACGCACCTCCTGTCTGTCTGAGTGTTACTCATTCTTTGTCTTTCCATTTAAGTCTTCCAAGAACCCCCAGCTCTCACCTAAATAGGGTCTTTCTGTTGCACATTTACACACACATATTCTCTTGCTCTCATGCTTACATTTTGGGTTCTTAAATTTGTAAAGCTTCTTAAGGAGCAGTTCTGGCCCAGTATGCTTTTCAATATGTTTAGTACTTCAGAAGTAGTGTTTTTTTAATTACGTACATTTTATTTTTTCCACAGAATTCTTATAATAATTCTCAAGCACCATCACCTGGCTTGGGAAGGTAGGTAAATTTTACTCTATAAAATGTTTTTTGTGACAAAATGATTTATTTTTATGTAAAAGTGGAATGGGTAGGGTCCAGTTCCAGAAATGGAAAGATGACAAAAAAAAAATTAAAACCATCTCTAATAAAGTATTTTTTAAAGTTTTCATTTTTTTTCTTTATTTTTTACTAAGTTGAAAATATAATGAACACAGTCTTAGAAGGAGTAGACAGCAGACATTTCACCTGTAGAAATCTGAGTTTTTTGACAGCACCTCAGTCCTTCTTAGAGTTTAATAGTTGGGTTTTTATCATTGAGGTTATCTTTATTTTACTCAAGTCTCGACACTGACAGAAATTAATAACAGTGGCGTGATTGTGGTTTCTCCTTCATCCCATATCACCCCCCCCAAAAGGAGGACAATTACCCTGACAGCTTCTGGTTTGTAATTTTTTTCTGTTCAGGTATTATTTTTATGTTAACTGACTTTCTGTCTTTGCTCTTGTGTATTTTCTGAACCAAATTTATAGTGCTAAAAGTGAAGATAAAAAGATATTCATAACAAATCGCTTTTGTCCCCCCAACTTTTATTTCATTTTCTTTCTTTTTTTTTTATGGTCTTGGGCACTTCCACAAATTTTAGTACTGCTGAAATGAACCTCTCAGATTTCAACATGTGTTTCCTAAGAAATATTTAATTGACAGGAAGTTTGAGATAATTGCAGTTGATTGAAGAAGCTGTACCTCTTTGTCAGCTTTGAATAACTTGGTTAAACTAGGAAAGTACCAGAAATAATGGCGTTCAAAATAAAACGTTCCTATCTACTACCACAGTCTTCTTGTGTTAAGTTGCAAATTCCTCCCAACTTTCTACAAAACAACTTGAAAAGTACCTAATTACCTACCAGAATAGCTGGAAAGTGTGTGGAGCTGGGAGTGAGGTGATCTAGCTTCTAAGCCTTTGAACTGCTGCTTTCCAGGTGTGTGACTTCCTCAGTTCTTTGCCGTCTTTTGTTCTGTTACCATTCATTAAAACAAAGAGTCCAGATATGATGATTCGCCATGGGCTTTCGTGAGCTAAGTGCTTACTTAGAAGAAATTTTACTTCTCTGGGAACTCTTCCAGTTTAAAAAAAATCTTTAAATTTTAAGAGCCTTCACGGATGAAGAGCCAGTAGAACATTGGTTTCATCACGTTCACCATATTCACATGAATAAGCTTTCTTTTTGTCTCTGTGTAGCAAAGCTGTTGGGATGCCTTCCCCTGTTTCTCCTAAGCTGTCGCCAGGCAATTCCGGAAATTACTCTTCTGGGGCCAGCAGTGCTACAGCAAGTGGTTCTTCAGTGACCATTCCACAGAGGATCCACCAGATGGCAGCCAGCTATGTTCAAGTTACGTCCAACTTCCTCTATGCCACGGAAATTTGGGACCAAGCTGAGCAGCTTTCCAAAGAGCAAAAAGGTAGGAGGGTCTCTGGAGAAACTTGGAAGGACGAAATTGTTAAAAGAGCGTTTATGATCTAGTTAAATAATGTCTGATCTGCATTTAGTTTATTATGTAGTCTAGAGTTGCCAGTAAAGTTTCCTAATCACCACTGCGTACCAGTCATACTGAATGTACTGAGTTTGGTCCAGAATACCTCTCACTGTACCAGTGACACACACGAAACTAAAAACAGCTTTTGCTCTAGGACATATGTGCTTTTGTTCAGGCACATTAAGTGCAGCTCCGGTTATAAAAGTAATAAAATACCTTTTCTATTTTAGGGTGGTTCACAGTAAATTTGGCTTAGGCATAGGATTACATGCAGACATCTTGTACATACGAGATTTAGTATATAAGAAATCACATTCAGGGGCACCTGGCTGGCTCAGTCGGAGGAGCGTGTGACTCTTGATCTTGGGGTCATGAGTTCGAGCCCCATGTTGGGCGTAGAGATTACTAAAATAAATACATAAAACTTAAAAAAAAAAACCCAACCACATTCATACTGGATTTTTAGTGAATTGGAAAACTTGTGTGTTAAAGGAGACCCCAAAATAAATTAGTTTCTAGCATTCTTCAGTATTAGGTTATTTGAAGCTTTATACCTTAAGTTCGTTATCGCCCAAACTAAGAACATTGATAATTATAAAGTATTTAAAGATCCTAGGGAAGAATCACTATATTGTACACCTGAAATAAATATAACACTATATGTTAACTATACTGGATTTTATTTTATTTTATTTATCCTTTTAAAGAGCGTGCATGTACACAAAGGGGCACGGGGAAGGGAGAGGGGTAGAGGGATAGGGAGAGAGAGAATCCCAAGTAGGCTCCACGCGCAGTGCAGAGCCCAAAGCGGGGCTCGAACTCATGACCCTGAGATCATGACCTGAGCCGAAATCAATAGTCAGATGCTTGACTGACTGAGCCACCTGGGCTCCCCAACTATGCTGGGTTTTAAATTAAAAAATAAGTAAATAAAGGATCCTAGGGAAAAGTACTATATAAACACCATCTTATTTTCGTAGTTGTTATTAGCAAATGTGCGTGTGGGGCAGCTATTCAGGTAGACCCTTTGTAGAGAAACACTACACTAGTCAATCAAGTGTCCTTTTTTCAGAGTATTTTTAAATGTTTGTAGTATAAACAGGTCATCAGATGAAGATGAAAGATTACTATCCCTAAAGAAGGCTAATGGTGGGAGAAAGCAGAAGAGGAACCCCAACATCTAACATAAAATTGTGTCTCTGAAAACCTAAATCTTCCTTAAAATTTTAAATACTGTCACTATTGCTCAGGAAAGGTTACAAAGCAGAAATTCTTATTAAATCACTCCTGCTTTACTTTCCATTTTTCTTCCTGATGCCAGTTTTCTAGCCTCATTTTTCATTTTTAAAATTTTCTTTCTCCTTTCAGTTTTACTTTTTTGTGTGGTACTTTTCCAATGTTGTCTAAAGGAAAGATAATGGCATAATGATCCCTATGCACCTTTCATTTGATAGAGACACAACATTTTCCTAATCTTGTTTCACCTCGCTCTTTCTCTGAATCAAACTTTTTTTCCCCCTCTGGAGTATTTAAGCATTTCCCCTGAACATACTTAGGTGTATGCATCTTTGGGTGATAGGATTTTTCAAGAACATGATTGTCGTGCCGTTAACATAACCACCAAAATTAACAGTAATTCCTTTCTGTCAGGTCTATCATCCAATTTTACTGTTGTTGCAGATATGCCTTTTTTTTCCTTTACTGTTTGTTTTTAACAGGATCCAAACATTCCTTCATCTGTGTCCGAAGTCTGTCTCCTCCTTCCAGTTTTTGGTGTTTTGGAGGGTGGGGCACTGTGCCATTTATGTTGAGGAGGAAATGAGTCCTATTATGGATTTGACTGATTCCTTCCTCTTATCGTTTAGCTTGCTCCCCTGTCCCCCTTACTTCCTTCATACTCATAGTTACATTTTGAGACTTGATTAGATTCAAGTTCATTATTTTAAATAACATTTCATAGGTCGTGCTCTAGATTCCTATTATATGATATTATTGAGGCATTTAATTAATGGTTATCTCTTGTTTAGTGATACTTGGATTTGACCATTGATAGAATTCGGGCGGTTTCAGCCTGACTCAGTTTGATGTAAGATTCCCTGTTAAACTTTAACTTAGTTTTAGTACCCATTGATGGTCATTACTTACATCCATTATTCCACTAGGAAATAGGAATTTTCAGGGCACCTGGGTGTCTCAGTAGGTTAAATGGCTCTTGATCTCAGCTCAGGTCATGATCTCAGGGTCATGAGACCAAGTCCCACATTGGAGCCTACTTTTTTTAAAAAGGGCAGGGGGACAGGAATTTTCTATTTTGATATTGTACCTGCATTTATTATCTGGAATTCTATAAAAAAGAACCTTTTCTCCTCTTCTCTTTGATTGCTTCTTGAATTATTTGAGTAGGCTGAGGTGTTTATCATGAGAATGACCCCTTTTTCTCTTTGTGTATAAAAACTCCCCTTTCTGTCTGAGACCTGCATCCCTCTCTCCTCCCAAATTGCATCGGGATCAAATGTTAGGACACTGTCGTTCCTTCCTCCTCTGTGCACCCACCTCACGTGCAGATCAGCCTTTATTTGTTCACGTAGGAAGAATCCTTTCATTTCCATCCTTTGCATTTTTAAACTATACTCTCTAAAACATGGGATAATTTATCAGTGTTGCATGGCATATGATTACAGCAGAAAGTTTGTCATAAATGTCTAACCTCACAGGAGCTTTTATGGGGAACAGTGCAAGGAACTTTTTGTATCACTTGCTTCTTATGCAGACAGTACACAGAGACTGTTTTTGAGTAATGGTACAATGTAGTACATTGTCTCCATTTTAGTCATGTGTACTGCATACTGGTAATTGATAATTTCCTTCAGTGGAATTCTACTTTTATGTATAACACTTAATTCCTAACCATACAGTCTGTTTGAAGCGTTTCATGACTTAGGGAAAATAATACAACTTGAAAGACAGACTATGGGATGGTTTGTTCTAAAACATGGATGCTCATCATTGTAGTGCAGGAGGGAGTGTTTTTTTGATTTCGTTTGACTACTGTTTTATAATCTGGCTTAAAACTCTTAAAGCAGTGTTTCAGGAGAATGTGTATATCATTTAATGACTGGTTTTGGTTTCCTAGAATTCTTTGCTGAACTGGATAAAGTGATGGGCCCTCTCATCTTTAACGCGAGCATCATGACAGACCTAGTTCGATACACCCGGCAGGGACTGCATTGGCTTCGCCAGGACGCCAAGCTGGTATCTTGAACTGAACACATCCTCGTTGCCTCTGATTTTCTCCACAACACTGTGTCACATCACGAAGGAAAACTGCCATAACATGACACCTAGTCGACACTAAGAATGAGGAATGGTTTTCTCCTCCCTGGTTCATGTGTTGTTGTTATTTATAACCCAAAGCCATGATGTCAGTTGACCCCTTTAATATTCCCAATATGAAAAGTTATTTAAATGTTTTTAAATCTGCAGCACATTGATAAGACGGTTTCAGTGATCTGTAATAAGATTGAAATTCCAATTGCAGTTCATAACTAATCAGTTGAAATTCTATTTATTTTAATTTTTTTAAGTTCCCAGATTGGGGCTAGTTTAAAACTTAGTTATTTCTGCCTATAAATTTACTCTGTTGAACATTTAGCGTAAATTTAAGGTAGGCATTTTTTATTTATATACTTGGGGAGCTTTGTTACCTAATGTCTTTTTGTGGTAGCTCTGCTAAGAATAAGAGTTGGTTCATCTAAAATACGGACGTGTTCTATACCTGCTACCTGATATTATTTTAAATCTTAACTACAATTTTATTGCAGAATTTATGCTTAGTATTAAGGATATTCTTCTACACATGAAAAATCATTTAAATATGAGAAGATGGCATTCTACAGATAGAAGATGAAATGTGTCTGATTCGGTATGCATTATTTCAGGAACTGTGAATGTGTGTTAATAACACTATAGCAATCACAAGGTGACTGTAGCTTGCATTTAATGCATTACAAAGGAGGGCAGACAAACTTTCTAGGAGAAGGGTATCATGTGAAGGGTTTCATAAAAGGACAATCTTGAACTTAATGGATTTTATCAAAACCATGTGTTCTTTTTTGTTGCTAATAATTTGACGATTAATTGAAACAGTAAGTTACTGTGGAACAAAGGATGATCCACCTCCTGAGGGTTGCTGCCTATATCTCTTTCAGTGATGATGTTTGAAGGGTTGAATCTCTCTTCAGAATTCTTAATTGTAAAATGTTTTTGCCACACTAGATTGTGATGCGCTCACGGGAGCGTGCAGTGACTAACGCAGGAATGGGCTGGAGCTTCGCTGTGGGCGCTTTTGCTGTACAATTTAAGGTTATGATGCCTGAGGTAGAGATGAAGTTCTCCTTTTAAACTTGTCTTGTACTGACTCCCTTTGTATTATGGAGGCCCTCACCAATGATTTATGTTTCTGATGGGATCAGAAAATTCACACTAGAAAAGTACCTAATTTGGTTCAATGTTAGCCCTCGTGGGAAGGGAAGGGGAGCAAGGGTAGAGCTTAAGCCAGCTCTGTAAGAGTTGTAAATCAAAGTAACTTTCCCTGTAAGGTGCATATCGGAGTCAAAGGTGAGAAATGTACCCTCTGTCATGCCCCTATCATGTGCCCCTATCATGTCTGGTGTGCCTTAAATCTTACCTTTGAATGAAAACTCTATGGATTGTTTACAGATGAAGTTTTACACTAGGACCAGATCACCCAGTATGGCTGGTCTTTGGCAGTAGTCATGTTAAATTCTCTTTCTTTTTTAATCTTCCTTTAGGGTCACATAAAGATGAATTTATTTCAGAAAAGCTAACGCTTTGGTACATGACTTAGTCTAACTGGGTAATGGCTGCTCCAAAAAAATTGTTCGTCATTCTCCCCATTCCAAAAATGAATTCATCCAATCAGAAGAAAGGATTGCCCTGCTATTTATAGATGATTGCTAAGGTGTGAAGTGGGAAAGAAAGGATAGAAAATCTCCCCAAGCCCAGTGGTGCAGTGAATCCTCTGTATTTGAGCCTTTTTAATGCTTATTTCTGAAGCTAGTGAACCTTCATTGTCCTGTGGCTTCATATTTACAGAGTTTTTGAACTGTTCTGTACCTCAGGTTGTTTTTGCATGTCGCTGGGGATTGGAATCTAGAAATTATGCTGAATTTAATCTTTTTCTCTTGGAGAGAAGTCTTTCTAACTTAATCTTATTAGTATGTTATCCTATGTTTTAGGAACAGTTTTCCTTTAGAGGACAACTTCTCAGTGATTAGGGTAGTTATTCGGTAAGAAACTTGCCCCTGCTCATCGAGTAGAGGTATGTCCTGTCCTCTGATTGCTCTTACTCTGATTCCTTACTTGGCAGTGAAGTCTTAGAAGTGGATAAATCTTTCAGCAACGGCAGCCCGTGGGGCACCTCTGAGTTCCAGTGCATTCTGATCTCTTGTGTGTCCTGAAAGGCAGCAGGAGTGTTTCTGGGGTCACACTGATATTTTGTGAGAACATAGTTTCCTGCATGTTTTATGGTGCTGTTCTAAGTTAATTCTCTCTCTGAAACTGTGTTAATTCTTTGGAAATGAATTTTTCAAGCTTTTCAGTGTGGGCAGGGATTTTCCCACCAGGTGGTAATGGGCAATGGATCAAAATCCTGTCCTAAATAATTGAATTTTCAGTGTCATTGTCTGTGGAAACACACACTCCCTTTCCTCTGTGTCCATCTCCTCAAAAGTTGTCTGTGTCTTCATCTGCTCCAGCACATACTTTGGACTCCCTTTATAGGCCACCATTCCTCCTTCCTCAATAGGTGTCTTCAGTGTTCTCTAACCATTTAAAACTGAATTTGACAAGTGGCTAAAAACTGACTTCGTCTGAGACTTGTACTTAATATATAGTTAATTATAGAAATAGCAACTCTTTAAAAAAAAAATCACTCTGTTGACTGCTTTTTAAGACCACATTGTATGCCAGGAGGCAGCAGCCTACACCCCCGGCCTCTTCACAGTGAACAGTGGATGAAGTTGTCACGTGGTGGTTTTGCCCGGGCTGGGCTGTGGGGAGCTCTCGCCTCCAAGTGATTCACCTGCCACAGTCCAGCCCGGGTCCGGTCTGGCTGGGGAGCATTCAGCCCGTTTCTTGCCTCAGTGCCACCTTTTCCTGAGCAAGTAGCCAAGAACTAACTTTATAAGCAATGAGTACTCCAGATAAATCTTCAGCTATAGTTGCTGAAGGGTGGAGAAGGTTGACCATCACGATTTAATTCTCCAGTGCACAAGCAGTGTAGAGTAATGTGTGCACGTGCCCACACATGCCTGTGCTCTGGCTAGCTCTCCCACTGCTGGGTCCATAGGCATCTGGGCCGCACTTTGCATTCACTTGTGGCTTTATTAGATTCACTGTTGTTGTTGTTTTTAATTGTTGTTTGTTTCTTTTTATTAAAGAAAGGTTTAATCAGCTAAATCAGACAAGCATCATTTTGTATTTAATGACAGAAACTTTGGGAACTTCTCTTCATTGAGTGAGCTTGCATTGTGAAGCAAGAGCCTACAGAAGGCACCTGTTCTAAATGAAAGTTCTGGTTCTGGAGGCTGGCAGCGCTCTGGAGTTTAAGGGCAGCCAGTGGTCGCTCCAGTCAGTGATGCCTAGTTGTGTAGAGGGGAGGTACACTGTGCACTCTTCTAGGTGTAAGGGTATGCAGCTTTGGATTTTAAAATTATGTACACATACACACTTTATATATATGTATGTATGTATGAAAACATGAAATTAGTTTGTCAAAAATGTGTGTGTTTAGTATTTTAGCTTAGTGCAACTATTTCCACATTATTTATTAAATTGATCTAAGACACTTTCTTGTTGACACCTTGAATATTAATGTTCAGGGGTGCAATGTGTATTCCTTTTAGATTGTTAAAGCTTAATTACTATGATTTGTAGTAAATTAACTTTTAAAATATATTTGAGCCCTTCTGTAGTATAATAGGGCTCTTCTTACAGGGTGGGAAGGATTTTAATTTTCCAGTTGCTAATTGAATAAAATGGCCTCATTATGTATTTGGAATTATAGGAGTTTGCCTCTGGGTCCCAGGAACATCTAATGGGAATGACTGTTTTAGGCAGATTGTGATGATCCTTTTTTTTTTTTTTTTAAAGCTAATTAAATTGGGAAGCAAAGCATTTCACATCCATGTAGACTCCTATCACCCATATTCCCTAATTATGTGGAGCACAGATTTCATTCTGATTTCATGTATTAACGTGTTGGAGAGGTAGACTTTTTTCCAGTAATAACACTGCACATCTAAGGTTGCTATTGTGTAAAATAAAGAGAAGAGAGCTAAGTATCAAATGATTTTGAATATGTAGAGGAAGAGACCAAGTTGGTCATGTTCTTTACGTGCTTCTCTTTCACATACTCCGTAATGGAGAGATTCAGTTTAGACTTCTAGACCTTAGAACCAAGCTGACAAGTGACAGGAAGTAAGTTACTACTAGTAGCTAAAGCACATGCTGATTTTCTTCATTGGAACCACGTGGTTCATTAAAAAGAAGTCACCGTCTCTAGAAAAGCAATGGAAAAATATCTTAATCGCTTCTTTTTGATGGAATCTGGTCACAGAATAAGGCATTACAGTTAAGTCTAAACCGAGTCTTCTAGATGTTTAAGTATCCTGAAATAGCAGCCCAAGGTTATCATTATGTAATGAAGTTGACTTTAGGAATGTCAGCATTGACCTCTCCGTGCCACCATTGCTCAGCTAAGCATAAATTGCCGTTCTTAAAAAAGAAACAAAAAAGCTCTCTAAATGAGCATGGGGAAGAAAAGTTCCCACCCAGAAATTCTAGTAATCTGTAGTTTTTGACCTGTTCCGCTTCCACGTGGGGTTTCTTTTCAGCTTTTAACCACTGGAATTTTCTACCTGCTATTGTTCCTCTCTGGAAAATATCTGTTTGGAAATGCTGCCTTTCAAATCTCTGCCATGGTTATCCATACTGTTGAGTTTGTTGTTGCTGTTCAAGAAGTGTCCCCATTTTATAACTTTATGCACATTCACACACCTGGCAAATCATTGACATGAGCGTTCAACAGTACTGCGGGTGGGGTGGGGCGGGCGGGGCTCACCACCAGAGCTGGCCCAATTGGCAATGCCTAAAAAGGCACTACTTGGGAGGACCAGATGTGAGGTTGGTTAGCACGGTTATGAAAATTTCTATCTAGCCTCCGTTTTGAATAGTTTTAAGAAATTTTGTATATGGAGGATGGAAATGCTTATATATTTATTGAATCCTTTTATCTTATTTGAAATTAAAACTATTAGGTGAATAACGGTTTGATATTTGGGGAGGGTTTTGGAGGGGAAGTAATGCCACTGATAAACTAAAAGCCTTGTTGATTTTGCAGAAAGGTACTGTTAGTGTCTGATAGGATGCCTTTGTTTTTGTACATGATCCAAATCTTTGTTTTACATTTCTTTTATCCAAAATATTTAGGCATCTGACATTTTCAACCAAAATTTCAATTATATACTGTGATTTTTATTTGTTGCAATACATTAAAATTTCAGAGGTACTTTGGGGCTCAAAAGCTAGGATTTCTAAGTATGTGCATTTTCACATAATAAAGCTGTTAATGGTGAGCAAAGTATTATATACTAACTAGATTTTTCCACATCTGTATAGTATATTATATGTATTTTGTGGTATTGAGATTATAGAAAGTTTAGAGTGTCAAACATGCGTTTAATGTGTATTTTTAAACAAATTTATGGCAATTAAAATATTTGGAGACAAGGGTATCACATTTCAATTTGTAAAGATCTTTTTAACTCTACTGTGTCATTAAGATGCTTTGTATAATGCCAAACCATAGCTGGAGAAACTAAGTTTAATAAATATCAAATAGATTTTCTGTATTAAAGTTTATAAACACTGTGCTCTTTAAACTTCTTCAACTCTTACTTTGCCTTTTCAATGTAATTTCTGCTTTGTACCTGAGTGCCCACTGCTACTCTACCTGAAAAGTCTGGACCCCCAGTCCAGCTCTCATTTCCTGATTACAGAAATTCTGAACTTGCTGGCCATGCGTCCTTTTGCATAGATCACAGTTTGCCCTGCTCCAGCAGAAATCTCAAAAGAAGTCTTTTCTGCTGTTCTTGGGGGCTTGGGCTTTTATTGTTTTATTAAACTAGATTCTTCTTCCAATTCTGCTTTCTGTTCAGTCCTAGACAAACTTGGGCACATCGTCAGGTCGCAAATGCCAGCACTGCCCATCTCTGACACCTCACTGAAGAGTCCTGACACGGAGTGAAGGGCCAGGATCCAGGGCCACAGCTCGTGAACTTGCCAAGGCTGATCACGTGGCTATTAGGAAACCTTCGTCTTTCAGCCTCTCATCGTGTTCTTTGTTTCTTAAGTGTTCACTTTCACTGCAGTTTGCAGATTGAGAAGTCTGCTATTGGGCAATGCTGGGGTTTTTTCTGTAGCATACAAAATGAATCCTTTTCAAGCCCTCAAAAGCTTGAATTCCAGACTGCGAAAATTTTGAGACATTTAATAATATACATAGAAAAATAAACTCTAAACTGACAAGTTTAGTAATGCTTGTCTACATAACATTCTAAGAAGAAACGGAGACCAGTTTAAAGCATACATCTGTCTTTAAATATTAAAAATACACGACTGCTTCACTTAAGTGTCTCCAGCCAAAATGCAGTTAATCAATATTCCATAGAACAGAGCATTGTTGTAGGTGAGCGCTGTCCTCTTTTCTCCTGATTTGTACATCATTCCTGGGCCACACTCAGGGAACAGCGTCTTTTTCTAAAGGAAAAGAAAAGGTGTTTTTTTTTTATTATTATTATTTAAGATTTCATTTATTTGACAGAGAGAAAGTGAGAGAGGGAACACAAGCAGGGGGAGCTTCAGAGG